CTTAATCAGCTCTTCAAGAAACAGCCCTCACTTTCCCGACTGTTTCTTAGGCTGTGCGCTGGCGTCCTATGATACAGTGGAAAAAACACACATGGGCAGTTGTCTTGGTATCAACTGGCCACATCTGCTTATGACTCCATCTCTGAATGGAGAGATTCCAGAAATTGGCAGAGCGGTCTAGAGAAAATACTTACACATGTGAAATGACAGGGAAAAGTGATTCTACAATTTATGTATAAGGCAGTAAATAGGGAAAACATTTAAAACTAGGATTCAAACTCATTCTGATTCTACTACCGTGATCTGGAGCCATTCGGGTTTAATCTACAGCTCAATTTGAAAGACCTTCTCTTTGGCTCTTTGGATTGCTCTGGGCATCGCAATTAAACATCCTTGAAGTTCATCATCACTTGACAATATTTTCCCAATTTTCACTTTTTCTTTCTGTTCTGCCCCTCTTGAAGCCCCGTAAGGGAGAGACAAAGAGCATCTAAATTGTCCATCAACTAGTAGATCAGTAGAACACTTTTTAAGTTAACCTCATCATTAATATTCTGTCCTGCCATATTCTTGATTGTATGAACTATGGGCTAAAGAAGGGAGGATAGGAAGAAACACACAGTTAAAAAAACCCCATAATTTCCCTCCAATATAAGCGAATCATTTTCCAAATGCCAGCCCCTGTGCCTTACATCTTTTATCTCATGTAGTTTTCATATCTTTCTCATAGGACACAGTTACCACTAGTTGTCTTTTTCCAAATGCATTCCAGTTCAGCCACTTGGTGGATACAAGTATCTGAGCAGCTGCCTCATTCTCTCTGGGTCCCAAATGCCTTTAATAGTGCTCTGTAGAGTGAGGTACACTATAGATTTTACAATGGAAAAAACACAGTACTACAGAATTCAATCTAATCTGATCATAGAGAAATCTATTTTGTATCACTGAGATTTCTGTTTGCTGGTGTTTTCCTTGAATTTTTCCATCCAAATTCAAAAATAAGTTAACTTTTCCCTTTTAATATTACTCTTATTATATAGCTTTATTCCCAAGATTACGCTGGCTTCATCTAATGAGTTGAGATATAGGTTCTTTATTCTCCAGAAGATTTAAGTAAAATTAGAATCATCTTGTGCCTTAAGTTTGGGGAAAACTCTTAATAATCTTGTTTCTATTGTATTTTTTTGTAAAAATGTTTTAAAATAAGTATTTTAAGAAGTATCATCTTAGACATTTTAAGGATATTCTCCTTAAGTGCTAACATCTACAGAATTATCTATTTAATTCTCAAACTTATTGATAGAAGGGTGTTTACTGTATCTTCTCTAAAAGTCTGTTGTATTTGTGTCTATGTTCTAAGTCTTTTCATGATTATTACCTTCGATTTATCTTGATAGTTTATCTCTTTTTACAAAGTAATGTAATAGCCTCCTGAGAACTTTATACTCTCCAATTTACATGCTATCTATTCCTGTTTGTTAAGATCACTTAGTGTAAGAATGTATATTCCCCTTTTTTAAACTATTTGCTTTTATATCTTGAGTTTTTCTCCTAGAAATACGTTTCTTCTCTTGAAGTGTATTTTAATTCTGTTAGTGGAAATTTGTTGTTGTGTCTGAAAATGATATTCATTTGTTCTTGTTACCAGAGATCAAACTCAGGACCTTGTGCTTGTGAGGCAGGTACAGTGCCACTGAGCTACATCCCTGGTCCTCATTTGTTCTTGTTTTAAAGATGGATTAGCTTAGTACCCAGTGTCTGATGATTTTCTCTACCACTCCACTCTGAAGATTCCTCTGATTTCTTGCTTCTATAGTTCCTCTTAAAAAATTTGCTGTTAGGCTAATTCTTATTCCTTTATCAGTGAAATGTCCTTTTTCCTCTGCTAATTATGCTACAGATTTATAATATAAGTTTGTTTGACACAGGTTGCTCACCTATGATTAGGGATGCATTTTACTTTCTGTAGTAAGTATTAAGAAATGCACCATGGTGCAAAAAAGAAAAAAGAAAAATAACCCTTCAAACATTTGAAAAATAACTATTACATCCCTTATTTCATTTTATATACCCATATATTTAGTATATATTTACTGCAGCATACAAGCATACATATATATCTTAAATATTTTTACTAGATCACATTCATTTAAACAAATAAATAATGGAAATCATAAATATCCCTTATATATCTGGTTCTTTGTGTGTGTACTTATTTGGGAGTTTCTGTAGTTTAATATTATGCCCAGAAGAATTTTTAAAAAATCATCACCCTCATGTAATGCTCTATGAACAGGCCATTAAAACACTTTTGATCCACAGCCAAGTTTTGCTCTACAGGGTTGGGAGTGTCTGAATGAGGATTTGTGAGCTGGGTGCCTGGCTAAATGAGACTCTCCCACTTGGTATGGCTGCCCATGGTGTGGCTCTGCTGTTTATCCAGCATAGTAACCAGTTGTGGAATCGACAAGTAGAGCAGGGCATGGAGTCTTTGGAGGGAGTTCAGAGAAATGAAATGATGATTAAAGGCTGAGAAAATCAAACCTTTGAGAAAAGATAAAAGGAACTGGGTTTATGCAGCATGAAGAATAAGTAACTGAGGAGTTATTTAGTATTTTTCAAGTTGTTGGGGAACTCTTGGTTTCTAACAGTGAGCAGGGTCCTTTGTCTCACGAAGCATAGCCAGAGAATATAGCTTTTGAGTTTGATACAGAGATGTAGTTTAACTATCATTAGTTGTCTAATGGTAATAATTTGTTAATTCTTTCATTAAATTCAGAGCTATCTTCTGTAGCTTTATCTGAGCTACCAAGTAATTCCCAAGTAGAACAAATTAGGTTTTCCTAGTACTTTGTATATCACTATTATAACAACAGCTCCATAATGACAAATACCTCAGAGACACTTTATTGGAGGACATCCTACAATTTATCTCCTTACCATCTGACCCTGGCAACTCCAGTGTTCAATATGCCTTTTCCAAATTGGATAAAATGGATTTAGAATTACTCTACACATGTTATAATTATTCTGCTGTACATATCAGGGGAGACATTTAATTTTTGGTGCTGGAATTATACATAGTCTTTTATGAAAGAGGTGACACTGAATTAGTTTTTGAAGGATAAAATGGTCTTAAGAAATTTAACCCATGGAAGTGAAGGGGAATTAGTGTGGTCAGACAAAATTCATTGGCAAGGGCTCTGTCTTCCTGCTGAGCTGTTCATGTGCACTGGGTCCTAGTAACATATAAGACCAGATAGAGTAGTACTCCATTTTATAAAAAAACCACAACTTCTTTATCCAGTTTCCAGTTGATGGGGTACTACTCAGCCATAAAGAATAAGAAACTAGAGACATTTATAGCTAAATGGATGGATATTGAGGCCATATTCTTAAGTGAAATAAATAGGACACACATGTGTAAATACTGAATAGTTTCTCTAGTGTGAGAAACTGAAAATGTAAATAAGGATTAAAATGATTAAAATGAATAATTGATAATTTGAAATAGGAAAAAGTCCAAAGGTGTCGGGGTGGTCGGAGGGGAAGGGGGAAGGAAAGAAAGGAAAATAAAAATTATGAGAAAAGAAAAAAATGGAAAGAAAATCTATGTAAATAGGGAAGGGTGGAGGGGGTGAAGGGCGCACAAGAAATAGGGAAAAAAAAAGAACCAGGATACATCATGTACAGGTACAAGCACCCAGTGATAAATGTAAATGTATTGAATACCTAAAATGTACCAATAAAATAATTTTTTAAAAAGACCAGATAGGATTACAAAGAAATACATTTCCCAAAGTATATAATTTGAAATAATCAATTTGAGAGATGTTAATGGTTTTGCATAAAAAACATATTTCCACGTTCAACTAATTTGAGAAATAGGAGTGTTCAATAAAAGGAACAGATTTTTCTGTTGGGAAAATCCTCAAACCATTGCTATGCTAAAGAGCATTGTGAGTCTCCTAAAGAAGTTATAGCAGGCAGTTATTCCCAACAATATTTAGTCCCATGACCCTTTTGTGGTTGAACGTATCAGCAGCTTGGGCCACACAGATAAATGCAAAGGAGAGACACTGAAGATGAATGACAACATCAAAGTGATGTTTAAAGAAGATTAATCTGGTGGTGGTACATGGGACCACTTGGACAGAGTAAGAGTCCCATTACAGGGGAACTTCATGCAAGCATGAAATCATAGGTACTTGAATTAGGTTCTTGCAACAAGACAAGCAGTATATGCTTGGATGGGGAAAAGATATAAAACAATGGAGTAGATTTGGTAAGTGACAGGGTTCAGGGGTGGAAAGCCAGAAGAATAAAAACTAATTCCCAAATCTCAAGCCTGGGTCCTGGAGGAATGGTGGCACCATTGACAGAAAGAGGGAATCCAGCCAGAGAAGACATTTAGTTCTGTGTGTGAGGTGATAGCAGAGAATTAAGCACAACATTTCCCAGACTCACATGGCCATAAAAGACCTCACAGAGCATGGAATTCACGTTCCTATAGGCGGGTAAGGCTGCAGTCCACTCACCTCAAATGGCCATAGACTTGCCACACTCTTCTCTGAAAATAGAGATTATAATATTTCACTCTGGGTAAAATTTTGCCATCTCTTCTAAACTGACGTCTTTTTCTCCAATGATTTTTTTCTCCCTGAAGTAATTTATTCAGGATGAAGAAAAAATTGTTATTTTTCACATACAAGGACCCGCCATGAACCTACAAAACATGAAAGTCAGTCAGGTTCAAATTCAAGTTACTTGAGCACAATAATGCATTTCTTAGCTCTTCTCCCAGCAAAGGATAAGGGAACTTTCGAATGCTGCATTCTGTTACAATCGTCAAGTTTTATACTTCTGTTTTAAGAAAGGATGACCATTGGTGGGAAAAAAGATACTGGGAAAAAATACCCTCCTGTCTGGCTCTCTGTCGTGTTTGCATTTATGACTTTGGTTCCAAGATTTTGATTTTCAAATCTGACATTCTTTTATAGTCCAATTATCATGCAAAGACATTCTGGAGAATTGCAAAGTGAGTGAAGCCAGAAGAGGAGCACTTCAAAAGCCCTTTGGAGGTAAATGATAGAGAAAACTAAAAGCTGCCAGTGCATGTGATTGCTGAGAGTGGCTGGCATTTTGCCACGCTGGAGGCAGTGTGAGAAAGGGATCCAGTCGGGTCTGCCCTGCACAGTTGATGCGGGACACCTACACTCTGGGCGCAGATGACAGAGCCACTCCTTGGAAAGCTGACTAGAAGAAAACCATACCATTTTCACTGCAGAAAGACCTTCAGCTCAGTAATTCTCGGGTAAAAGTCACCATATATGTGCCCATGGACACACACACACACACACACACACACACACACACACACACACACCCCTTGAAGAACAGCATGCTATTGCACCGATACCCCTCACCCCCATGAAACCAGTCTAATGACACAGAAAATGCTACTAAATTAAACTCAACTGAAGAGCCCTGCCCATGAAGAATGCTGCAAAATAAAACTGAAGCTCATTCCCTCAGCTTGCCAATACTGTATTTTTCAGTTTATTCCAAGAAAAATTAAACAACGATCGCCTCACAGACAAAGCTGAACGTGAATATCTGTGCTTAATATTTTAATCTTTAAAATTTATTTTATGCAGTATTTTTTACTTATTTTCCATGGAGGGAGTAATCAGTTTGTTTGTTTGTTTTTTTGGTACTCAGGATGGAACTCAGGATCTTGCGCTTTTAAGGCAAGCAGTGGCACCACTGAGTTAAATCCTGGGCCCAATGTTTTAAATTTTTAAAACCAATTTTTTGAATTAGTTTGTCTGTGTATACGTATTTGTATTTTCACACATCAAGAATGTTCCTCAGTTTCAACTTTAACTAGTGAGTGAATTATAGACAGGCATGTATTACTGGAAAATAGCATTGAAAATTCACTTTCTTTTTCAAATTAAATGCTGTTTCTCCATTAGCTCACATTACTATTTATGAGGGTTTTGGGGTTTTTGGGGGGTTTTTTTGTTTTGTTTTTTGAGACAGGGTCTTGCTAAGGTGCTAAGTTACCCAGACTAGGCTCAAACTGAGATGGTTTATTTTTTAAAGTGTTTTATCCTTATTCACCTCTCTTCAACATTAGTCACTAACAATCTAATAGTAAATCATTCTGCCTCTTTCTACTCCTTTTATTTCAGCTTGATTTGTAAGCAAACTTTTATATATACTTAAAAAGAACTAGGAAATTAGTGAAACATTTGGCACAAAAAAGGCATTTCATGGTGAAGAGATTCTATAATTAACGTGTTCACAGTTTAGACCTTAACATACCCTCTATTAAATATTTGAGTTTTTCCTTTAAAATATCTTTCTGAAGGTTTTAAAACAAAATCTGATGAACATATTTAACTTATTTTCCATCCTCTAACCAGGGGTCAAAACAGTGGTTTGAAAAGTTGTTCTAAAGCACCTAAAGGAACTTCATTATGATATTTTTACAGCAATTACATTCTCTTTTGTTTTATCTATTCTCTCAATTTGAGGCTGTGAATCATTATTATTTGTATTACTCATGTCTGAGGAACTGCTTGGCAGATCTGTAAGAGAGACTTGCGTTGAGTTAATATGTGCCCTGGTGGCCTTGTTTTGGTATTCATAAACATTACAGCCAGATTTTAATGGACATTCTCAACACAAATAGAACTCAACAGCTAAAATTAATTTAATTTTCTGTGTAAAATAAAAGAAGTAGTAAGAGATTGAAACATTGACTGGGTTTGGGGATCATTTGGGGAGTTTCCATTGACTATATATCACCCTGTGTGGCTTTCATTTTCTGGGTGCAAATCGATTTAATGTGCAACATTATTAGATTAATGAGGTCCCTTTGGAATAAATGATCTTGCTGAAGAGGCTTGGTTTAACTCTGCCTCTCTGTCCCACTCTGACCTTTGCAGTAATTTTTGATCAGAAAGAGAAGAAGTTGAAAAGGGGGCTCCATCACAATAGCTCTTGTTTGTATAAGGCAGTGGTAGCGAACCTTTTAGAGCTTTCAGTGATACAAGCAGCAGTGTGCCATAGATTTAGCCGCCACTGTTATAAGGAAACAAGTTTTTATCCATCTTTGCCCATGAAAAGATAAAAATGTCTACAAACCCAGATCTTCTGGGTTTAAGTATTGATTCATTGCTCCCTTTCCCAGATTGGATTTTGCTTGTATACATTCAGTAATAATACAATTGAAATTCTTGCCCTCATTCACTTCAACGATAACTCCTCTTAAAACTGAGGGCCAGGAAAGCATCTATTTACTCACATAAAAGCTTCCATAATAGAAAGATAAATATATAGAACTTATTATTTCAGCTGTTCTGTGGAAGAGCAAGCCAAGGGCAAACTCTATTTTTATTTCTTAAATCCATTCTTGAGTATAGTGCCTAAAATTTTGGCTTGTGGAATCAGACCACATGGGTTCAAACCCCATCTTCTGCACTAACTAGCTAAGAGAACTTAGACAAGTGATTCAAACCCTCTCTGCCTCAATTTTCTTTTCTAAGAAAGAAAATAACATGTTTCCTACTTTCTTGGATGTTACAAGGATTAAATAAGTAAATATATGCACAATACTGAAAAAGCACACCTAAAATGTATAGCTATAGAAAAATGTATAGCAATAGAATTCTATTTCTTTGATTGTTCATATCTCTTTTAAATGCACTATATAATATATATTCACATTATAGATTGCCTTAAATTTATCTTGAGTGAAGATTAGATTATTTGAATTATTTCCACAAGTAAAAATATCAATTTTTTAGAATGATACAATATCAAATTTTAGAAGATAAAATTTGAAGTTATTGAAAATGATACAGGAGAAATTAAAGTCATTTATAATCCTGAGCAGAATTAGACTCCTAATATTTTGTATCTTTATTTCAAAAGTGTTCCTTAGTTATTAAATTTTCTTCAAAAACATTTTAATGTTCATAGAAAGTTCTACCATATGAATATAACTTTAATATTTCCAACAAGCAAGTATTCATTGTAAGTGAATTAAAAGTACAAACAAACTGAAGAGGCAACTTCTAGAAAAAAAACCAATGTGCTGTAATATACTTGTACACTGAATCAAACGAACAGTTCTTCAATAGCAGCTTCCCTTTCCTGCAGTGCCTTAAATGGTTATGAAAACAAAGAAGAATGTTATCAACTTCCTCTGACTCTCCAGATCATCAGATATCATATTTTTTTCTGTACTGCTGGTAGAACTTTAACTGGACAAACCATGCTCATAGTAACAAATATTGTATCTCCAAATACAGCATAGTGTAGTGATGAATTCTTTAAGGCTCTCAGCTTTCTCTTTGCCATTTATAGTGTCCAGGAGGGAATTTGTTTTATCACTGCACTTTTCTATCCCCTTATTCTTTAAAACATAGGCCAAGGATTTGACTTACATTGCCCATCAGTCCTTTTAAAGAATTGTTGAAAGGATGTTTTACAGAAGGAACAAGAAAATATCTTTTCTGAACATTTGTGGGTTTGTCATTCCCTTCCTCACTAAATAGATTAGTGAATATGTTTCCTGTATTTCAAATGTCAGTGTGTGTTATTAGTACTATGTTTTCCCTGGGCAATACTGAAAAGGAAGCATAGTCTTGGCATGCTTATGAAAATGAAAGTTATGTAGCCATCAGACATGAGTAGGCTATGATTGAGCCAGATGAACAGGCAAAGCATGCCTCGAGGGTGTCTTCATCTTCCTACAGATGCAAGGCTCCTTCACAGAGGTTGGGAATGTGCAGCTGTTTCTTGGGGATTGTTGTACCAGACAGGGCATACAGTGTGGTACCCTGTGCTACAAATCCTAGTGATGCAACCTAGTGAAAGATGATTTGTCATGCATGTAGCACCTAGCATGGATGATTTTGATGAAGTGGTCCTCCTAGATAGCTCTTCTCTAGGTAGAAATCAGAGATCAAGACTCCCTCCATCAGAACACAGTGATCTCCACTATGAACTTCAGGGTTTATTTTTTTCTCTATCTTTAACTAGCTAGAGAGTATGAAGGATCATCCTGCAGTAGTCTTGAAAGCGGTGTCTCTCTGTTCTGCCTAAGTTGCATGGTCCAGTATCAGCTGCTAGGAGGTATGACTTGGTTGTGTTCGCCCAAGAAACACCATAAGTGATGTGATGCTTAGACAGTGTGGGTTATTATCAGGAAAGTGGGGTATGTATTTTAAATTTCATTCTCAAATTGAGAAGCAAAAATTTTAAATTGAGAAGGAAATAAAAGAGGGTTTTTTAAAAAATAAGGAATTGAAACTTATATTACCTTGTATTTGTTTTTGCTTTATTTTATATATTTACCTGTCTGAAATGCAATTTTTAAATAATTTTATTCCTGGAAAAGACTTATGGTCACTCTCTCTGAACCAAGATACTGGCACATTTTCTCTATGATCCCAAACTTCTAGGTCCCCTGAAATTTATATTTAAACTCCTCCAAGTTTTATGCTAAGTAAAATACAAAGTTGACTATACCAAAGCAAATGATCGATCAGCTTACTAATGAACTGAGTCAAAAGGAAATGAAGGAAAACACAATAATAACTTTGCATATGTAAATAATTTCTGAGAGTGTGAGATGAGTTAAAAGTCACCCACTCATTAAAAAGTTTTATTTTAGGTGCTATTTCTTTAGTTCAAAACCAAATTACATGAAGAGCTCAGATAACATTAAAGCTTATTAAATGTTCAAGTGTGAATTTAAAAAAAAATTAGAATACAATTGTTTCTTGCAGATACCGGAGAAGGAATAAAGAAGGCTGTATATTCTTATATTCTCTATTTTGTTCTTGATGACATAGCGTGTAATTCACGATCTAAAGAACAAGTGACAAGTTTCGCTGTCTGTTTTCTGGTCTCTTGAGTTAAAATCAAGGTTTCTAACGTTACCTGCATGAAGGGTGGTGTTATGTTTTCTGAGGTGAGGCATGGGACGAAGTGTGGTGGATATGGTTAATATTTCCAAAAGGTAGCAATTACCTGATAACAGAAAGCGGTATGGACTGCATCT